CAAAATAAATATTTGTTTACGTTATTAACGCATGCGCAATGAGAGATAATGTCTGCGTTGGACCGACTGCTCACGCTGAGCTAACAAAAAAGTATTTTTTTGGCGTCAGATCTACGTCAACTTTCCGCTGACGCCCAGATAAGGCGCTAGTTCTAAGAAACCAGGCCTTGAGCTAACAAACCAGTATTTTGTTGGCGTCAGCGGGACGTTGACGTCACGCCGACGCCCAGATAAGGCGCTTGTCCTAAGAAACCAGACCTTTAGATTTAAAGTGAAAGCAAATATAAGTCTGTCAAATTAGCTATGCCCAAACTTAAGCTACCGCTTTTTATTTTTTACTGTCCTGATTCCGTGTGACTACATTTATGACTCGCCCGACCCGAAAAGGTTAAGATACGACTCCCAAAGTGAATACTTTTTTGTTTTCATTTTTTTATTAGGATTTTAAAAATACACATTAAGGACTCTCTTTATGAAACACTCTTTCAGGAAGGCGATTTGTAAATAAATGAGGTATCAAATTAAGAGTAAATTAATTTAGATAAGAAGAAAAAATGCATTACGAAATTCATTATCTCTACATGCGTTTGCGCATAAGCACTATAGCAGGGTAGGCACGTAACACTAGAAAAGTGGTGGTAATATTAAGAGGAAAAATTGTAATTTATCATGGTTGAAACTACTAGAATAGCTTAATATCTCTAAATGCGATATGTTACCACTAAATTTCGAAAGCCGTTAATACGCAGGTCCCGCAGTGGACTGATTGTTAAGACACGGTTCCCAGAAAAATCACCGAAGTCAAGCATCACTGGCTGCGGTCAGTGTGTGGGTGACCCACTTGGATCAGTCTGCGTAGGGACAGGGGGTGTGCGCTATTGGTCCTCGTTAAATTGTTCTACCGAAGTACTGTTCTGTTTGTTCGAAGTGCTCGACTTCGCGTGCAGGTCGTCGGGCTACCGAAGCAGGGGTGCCACCCCCTCTGCAGAGGATCAAAATTGTGATGGCTTGTTTTCGGATCTTCCTCAGGGATGTTTCCCAGACCGTCGCCAATAGCCCACTGTGCAGCTATAGTGTGACATAAATGAACTACAACAATCCGCAGACTGTCTGTCTAAATTAATCCTTTAAAGTGCGGAATGAATTTACCTAGTCATGTGCGCATTAAGGGTGCCTGTATCGTTAAAGTTCATCTCTCATTCTACCAATTAATTTGTTGTTTGATCGCATTTGTTGATTTGATTATTTAGGTACTGAAAACTAATATAAATAAATTGTATCATGTTAATATCCTTCGATGTCATAATATTTTAAACCGTTTAATTTTTTGTAATTATATTTTTGAAGTGATTGATGATTGATTCTATCAACTAATGTGTTGATTGTTTGAAGTAATTTGATTGTTTGTATAATGAAAAATAATTAAGTACATCATCATCGCAGTTGACCAGACTTCCCAAGGTGAGCCAATGCCTTCCTGATTAATAAGTACATTGTGTTAATTTAGGTGCACAGAAACGTTGTTGTTCCAGCAGGGTACTTGGTAATGTGTTGCCTACTAGGTAATGAGCAGATTATCTAGGAATTTGCAAATCATCTAAATAATTTGAGAAATGAAACAATTTTTGGTAACTTTAACTGATCAACTGCACATTAGCTAGATAGTCTATAGCATAAATGATTTCTATACTTCTATACTTTTGCTGGAATATATATATATTGTAAAAGAATAAATAATGTGCAAAGAAATTTGTTTAAAATTAATTTTTAATATTTTTTTTATCATTTACAGTTATATAACAAGTTATTAGTAAATATTAACAATGAAAAAATTATATATTGTACAAAATTCTAAGAAATTGTGTCATTATATACATCACTGTTTTTCTAATTGAAATTAAAAGCAGTCAAAATGACTTCCTTAGGCAATCTAGTGTTAAAGTCATAGTTTTTAATTTTTCCAGTTATTTACGAGTCCTGTATAAGTATAAAATTATGGTTTTAATCAATTCAAAAATATTTGTCCCAATAAATCTATTATAAAGTATTGGTTGAATAATTCAGTTTGTAAAGAATGATATAATTATGCTTTCTTATTAGAGTGAACTGTTATTTTAATTTATTTCTCCTATTTGTTATTTAGGAGATGTACGACTATTTAAGTCTTCATAGTGGAAAACCGATTAAAAATTGGTTTCAGCTGACCATGTTTCATGACACTCTACTAGTGGAGGTATGACATTTTTTTGCTTACTTTTTCTCTCTCTCTCTGTTCTACAATCCTATACATGAAAATTTTTCATTTTATTAACTTGCTGCGACGAAAATAATTGATAAAAAAATTTCAATTTCGACATTAGATGATCAAGTTAGCCATCTAAATTCGATGCTATTTATTTTAAAACACGCTTAAGAAATATTAATACTAAAAAAAGATTGCAACTAAAACCTTTATTTAGTCTGGAATACTTTTAAAAAAAAAATCGAAATAATAATAAAAAATAGCCACCAGATAAATTATTATTGATTATTTTGCCGAAAAATTGCGATACTGTTGAAATTTTAGTTTTCCTTTGTTCAATTTAATTTTTTTTATAAGCGAAATGGAAACTTGAAGGTAGAGCTGGAAAATATATCGTGAAAACGTGAAACGTTAATATTTTTTAAACAATCGTATATTGTGAAAGACCAATATTTTTTAAACAAAGTTTTATCGAGAAATATCAAGATATTTAAACAACGGTATATCGTGAAATATCAGTATTTCTTAAACAACGATATATCGTAAAATATATCAATATTTTTTAACTACAATAAATCTTGAAATATCAATATTTTTAAACTAAGGTATATCGTGAATTATCAATATTTTCAAACTGAGGTATATCGTGAAATATCAATATCTTTAAACAACAATATATCGTGAAATATCAATATTTTCAAACAGCTGTAAATCGAGAGATATCAATATTTTTAAAACAAAGGTATATCGACAGGTATCAATAGTTTTTAAACATTAAACAACGGCGTATGTGAAATTGCCATATTTTGTAAACATTCGTGAAATACCAATATTCTTTAAACAAAGCTATAGCGAAATTATAAAACGTAATTACTGATGTACCGTTAATCCCATTAAAAACTAAAAAACGAATATACGATAATGTCACGAGGATGGTCAGTAACGATTATTATCAAAAACGACGATAACTATATCATAACCAACAGTTTCTAAATACGGTATCGAAAGTGTTTTACAAATTCAATCTATATAACGAATATATTGACCTATGTTAAAACAAAATAGTTGAATTAGAATTTATTATGAAATATTCCTAGTTTCTTCCATTACTATGTGTCGATTTATCACGATATCATTGTTAATAATATGTTGCTAATTATGTATTTTTTTAAAAGAAAATACACAACCTAAAGATACCTTCTTGGGTTATACCATACTGGGATGAGATTGAAGATGTTGCAAGCGGTGTATTTTATAGGTTTTATAAAGTTCCTGAAATTCAGTATTTTCGAGGAGGTAACATTGTTCTTTTTTGTGCAAAAATAAGTATGAAGCCTTTTCACAATGTGGCATAGTATTAATTTTATTTCCTTTCCGCAGGTCCATTGCTAGGAATGATTGTTGATAAAATGATAGGAAAAGTTAGCGGTGATTTAGCTGAGCTAAAAGTGCAAGTATATTCAGCTGTAAGTCCCAAATATGGTCATTCAATAATACTTAAAAAATAGTAATTAATTTTTGTGAGCGTATGTGTGCATGTGTTGTTATTATTTCTAATGACACTTGGAGAAACCAAACTTCTCAGCCATTGGCCTTTTTGTGAATTAAGTCAGGAAGGTACGCCTCTCATTTGACAAAAGAGCACCACATAGGTGAAAGTACGTCTTTGCTTAGAACCCCACGGATGGATGGCAGCCCCACTCATTTGTGTCTTCAATTTAAACATAGATCTGAAGGGGAAAGAAATTTTCTCCTGATCCCTGTGCCCATGGCACTATTCAGCGACATAGGACTTTCGATTCCACAGATTTTACGAACATTTTTTACTCGGTGGGTCTGAGCGGGAATCAATGATCGAATCCTGGTCACTCAGGACCGGAGTCTGATTTTCTAACCTTGGGCTACCACTTCGTTGTGCATGTGTTAGAAAAGTCTAAGTGATTTTCAATTTTCTTAATTAAAAAAGAAATAGTAATCGGAATAGAAGCTATAATTTCGTAATTCCAGTTACGGTGTTGTTACGCGTTTCAGTGCTGGTAGTACATAATTATAAAACAGCAAATACTGGTTGTAAGTTAATAGTTAAGTAAGATCAATATTTTAAAAGAAAATTTCTTTAAGATAGTTCAACGCTTAGATATATGCTGGGGATATTTCCGTATCGTGATCTGTCACGGCAACTACAGTCGCCAAGGTGCCAAATAGATTTTAAACTTGCAAATTGAAAAAGAAAAAAAAAACATGTAGATGTTTGCCCGGGGGTGGCTACGAGTTATACGGTTCCTGTTGGTCCATTTCTGCGATGTTTTCTTTCTTTCTTTCCAGTTTTTCTTGGACCGCTGCCTGGTAGCTGCCATGACTTGGCGATTATTCTGCCACAGATAGCGATACGAAAATCTCTCCTTTATGCCAAAACGACATATTTAAAAAAATGATAATTTGCAGTGGTGGTCCCCTGAGCGAATATGAATGGTGTTTTCAACATTGCAAACAACAATCTCAAGCTCTTCATATGCTCTACTTCCGGTTAGAAAGTATACAGCTGCTTACTACAGCTTATTCTGTGAGGCGAAATTTTCAAACAAATAATTTTGTTTTTAATAAAAGAAATAAATTATATAGTTTCTGAGCTTAAATCTGTTGTACTTCATAAGTTATTAATGATATTAAGTATTTCTGGTCAGTTTGAAGTGAAAATTTGTTTTAGTTATTTATCGATGACAAAAAGGTGACATGGTAGCTAGATTTAAAAAGAACTTGGTTTTTTGGCAGTCTCGATTTGGATTCTTTTTACTTGTTTATAACTCAGGGATGAGAGTAGTCAGAAAGTAAAAAAGAGGAAATCCAAGAATATATATATATATACAAAAATTTGACAAAAAAAGTGCGAT